CACAGAACAATGCTTAAAGTTCACAGATATTTCACGAACATGCTGCTGTGCTAACTGCTTCAAAGAATTTCCACTCTTGCCCATTACAGACATAGCATTTTTTTCTTTCTTCTTCATCAATTTTCAGTTAAGGAAACCCCTGTAGGATCTCTCTTAGATCACCTAAGAACTGTTCAATTATGGGTGTAGACGTCTACAATTGTGCTGGTTGTTTTAGTTTCCTGAGAGCTGATGGGTGAACCAGCTAGGGAAGGTGTCCTGATGGAGCTTATGTTTCTGAACAGAGAAAGACTAGTGGCTGATGCGATAGTTAGAGGCTATCTGGGGCACAGCAATCACAAAATTATAGAATTTTTGATTCTTGGAGAAGTAAGGAGGGGGGACCAGCAGAACTGCCATCTTGGTAGACTGTGACCTATTTAGGAGCCTCCTTGACAGGCTCCCTCAGAAAGCAGTTCTGAAGGAGTCCAGGAAGATTTCTTCAAGAAAATACATTCTTCAAAAAAATCCCACAGGTACAGGAGCAGGCCATCCCCTTGTGCTAAACGATAAGTCAGTGGGAAAGAAGATTGGCTTGCCTGAACAGAGAGCTTTAGCAGGAACTCAGGTGAAAAAATGGGATTTTATGACCGTTGGAAGAAGAGGCAGGCAAGTCAGGATGAGTACAAGGATCTCATGAGTTTACGTAGGGAGAAAATGAGAATGGACAAAGCCCAACTAGAATCTAATCTGGTTAATGACATAAAAAGCAATCAAAAATGTTTCTATAAATACATGAGCAACGGATGGAGGGCTACAGGCAATCCCCATGGATTTTGGATGTAGGGGAAAACATAGTGACAAAAGATAAGGAAAAGGCTGAGGTAATAATGCTTTCTTTGCCTCAGTTTTTAACATAAAACCATTTGTTCTCAGGGTTAACCAGGCCCCTGAGCTGGAAGACGTCGATGGAGAGCAGAATGTGGCTTCATAATCCAGTAGAAAATAAAAATGGAAATAGTTAACAACTTGCTACACCACTTAGACACACACAGGGCCCAATGGAATCCACCCAAGCATATAGGAGCTGGTGGAAGTACTTACCTTCAATTATTTGTAAGCAATCCTGGTCAGCTGGGGAGGTTGCAGTTAACTGGAGTTTAGCCAATGTGACGCCTCTCTACAAGACTTGATGAAAGGAGGATGTGGGGAACTACAGGCCTGTTGCCTGATCTAGGTACTAAGGAATGTCAGTGGATGGAGCAGATCATCCTGAGTGCCATCCTGGGGCATTCAGGATGATCTGCTCCATCCACTGTGGCACGGGCAGGACAACGAGGCGGTCAGGCTGCCTTATGCAAGGCAGCTCCTCTCGACCAGCCTGATCTCCTTCTATGGCAAGGTGATCAGTGGATGAAGAAGAGGCTGTGGGTGTTGCTTACATGGACTTTAGTCAAGCCTTTGACATAGTTTCCCAGAGCATTTTCCTGGAGAAACTGGCTGCTCAAGGCTCAGATGGGTGCACTGTCTACTGGACAGCTGGACTCAGTGAGAGGTGCTGAATGCAAATCCAGCTGGTGGCTAGCTGCAAGCAGGTATGATGGTATTGGTGCCATATATCTCAGTGATGAGGAATTTGAACTGCAGTAAGTGTTGTTAATGGGAAAAAAGGTGGCTGGACACATTGCCTCTTCCCTGGGGAAACCCTCCCATGGCTCTCTTCCCTTACAGCAAAGGTGACCATTGCTGCTTTCAGGTTGATGCTTAACATTTGACTGCCTAGATATAGTATTGGTCTTTCTGGAGTCAACAAAAGGTTTTATTCTGTAACTAAAAAAATTTCCATGTGCAAGTAATATCTGATCAATGACATATGTCTGCAGAGGCCTGTTGTTTTTTGTCTGATGTTTCTGCTTACTGATTTAAAGTCAAATTCTGCAACTTTATATCAACACAAGCCCATTGTCTTCAGAGATTGAGAACAGAGTTTGGCTCTGTCAGAGAGGTCTACCACAAACCATGTAATTCCAGTGTATGTATGATGTGTGACTTGTAACCGTGTTTGCTGCAGACTAAGTGGTTTGTACATCTCTTATGAAGACATGGTAAAGAATCCCAGCACTGCATCTGAAATTCATTCTATTTTAAATTGCACTCCTGCATATGCAAACAACTGAGTTTCCCTTGCCCACTTCTGTACAAAAAATGATTGTGGTACAAATAACCTTCAGTACTTTGTAGACTGAGTATGGTGGTATGAGTGAAAGGTCAGAATGAGGCTCAGAAAAAGCACTAGCCAAAAAGGATAAAGAACACCTAGACAAAAGCTGTACGATTAAAAATAGTTGATCCCATTCTGTGTTGTTCTCAGCTACTCTTCCTTAAAGAAGGAAGTGACATGTTAATTCCAGACTTGGACTGCAGATTTTGAAGCTTTCCCGTTAGGAACTATTATTTTGAAATATCAGTGCATGATGCTTTTTTCAATCAAAGCAGTTTCAAAGAGTTCAAACCCCAAATTCTAAGTAGCATTTTCTCTGTATTTTAAACATCTGTGTTGTTTATTAGAAATGGCATCAGATTTTGGCAATCCAATCTTTTTTCTTTTTTTTTCTTTTTTGGTAGAGCTTGAAAGAGTTGCACCACTCTTTTTTCAGTGCAGTTGTTGGGGTCTAGGGATTTCCTAAAATTGCTAGTAGAGTATACTCCTGGAAGTAATTTATCCCTGCTTTTTTTTTAAAAGGGCAAGGACACAAAGGACAAGAAGAAGATATCAGATACGTTCCTGATTTGTGCAACATTAGACACAGTGCAGAAATTGTTTGTCACTTCAGTTTCATGGCCAGTTTCCTATTTTCTTAGGGAAAAAATCATAATTTTATTTTAAAAATAGCTGATTTGTAATAACAGTTACTATGATATTACCAACTGTTAATTTTGAACATTCTATCTTGAGCCTTTCTTCTTCAGTTGAGGTAATAATAAGGAGAGAAGGCATATATTGTTTTTAAATTACCATTAATTGAAAGCAGGAAAGCCTCATTAGGAGAAGTTTAGTTCTGTCTGCAGTAGAAAGCGCTATATGCACCATTCATGAAAGCGTGAGACATAGATCTTTTTATACAAAGACAAGACTCAGAAGAAAATCAGAAATGGATACAAAAACTGCCTTTACTCTGTCCTTTGTAGTGCCTAGGTTTAAATTCTGTCCTTTTCTTGAAAAATAAGACAAACTAAAGAGTATCTGCAGAACATGTCAACATTTTAATGCAGTTTTGTGTGTTTCATGCATGCATTTTGTAGAAACTAGAAGAATTCTCTACAGGATATTTAATCCCAGTATCTCCAGAACTCTGGCTTATTGTACACTTAGAACTATTTTTTTATTTCTCTATATAACCCACTTACCCATTTCATACCCCTTAATTGAACTGTTCAGGTGCATTGTAGCCTTGCCTTCATTTGAAAAAATGAAGGTCTTTGAGCTGAAGAAGCATTAGCACTTCTCAGGTGCTCAGCTTCTGGCACAACCAGCCTGGGGAAGCCTCCTGTGCTATGTGCAGCTCAGGAACAGGGGCCCTGGGAACAGCTGTCCCCTCATGAATCATTCATGGGGGGAGCTCTGATGATGAATGCTCAGCTGCAAACAATGTATAACATTTAGAGAAAATAAAGGCATTTCACTGTAATTTCATTTTTTTCCCCAGAGGTGGGGCAGAGCCCCAGGTGTCTTCATAGTGGGATAACTTTATGGAGGAACCTTTAATAAATCCTGGAAACTGTTTTCCAGTGACCCCATAGGTCTTCTCATGACCCCTTCCCATAAGGAGGAGGCAAAATAGTAGTGATGATAAGGTAAGACATTAAGTGCAGATTAAAAAACAGAAACATTTATTCCTGCCTTTAACTTTTGCTGTATTCCCAGATTTTGGAAAATTCATGAAAAATTAAGTGGGTGACTATTTTCTGGCTGGCTGGGGAATGCCAAGTCACATGTTATTGCTCCTGCTCTTTGACTGGCTGCCTTCTATAGCTAATCAACACAGTGTCATTTTGAAATTCACATCTGGGAACTCTTTGAGCTAAATATGCACTTTTCATAAGCTCTGGCAACTGTAAAGCACCAAATGCTTGAATATTCAAGGAAAATAAACACACATGCTAAGAACGTGACAAAATGGAAATCTGTGTCAGGTTTGAAAGAACAATCTAGGATATCCTCTGCCCTCTGCTCCGTGCTCTCCACTCAGCTGTGCTCAGTAGCAGGAGTAGATGGCAGAAACGTGTGTCCCTTATGTAAGATGTGCTCACAATGCCCCTGAACTTTTGGCATCAGTTCAGAATGTAGCTAACTGTATCGTGCCAGTTTAAATATATCTGGTCATTTTCCAGTACACTGCTCAGCTGTCTACCTTTCAGCGCCCTTGCTGGCATCCCAGTAAGCTCAATCTGCATTTCTGTGTTTGTTAATGCTACTGGGTTCTCTAGGGGGAAACTGAATATTATTATATTGAGAGTGAGGGACTGGGAACCGCAAGATCTGGAGTACTTTTTGGTGGCTATTATGTCTTCCTGCAAACTTCTGGAGACATTCTTCTGGCTTTTAGCATTTAAAGATGATTCACAGATTCGTAATGAAGCACACTGCTAGTTTTGAACATATGAGTAGTCACATAGCAGTTAGAGAAATGAGGCTTTGATTTCCTTGGAGTTCAGTTTACTGCATGTATTTCACACTATTTCAGGATACTGAAGTACAACAGTATTTGGTTATTATTAGGAGGAGTCATACAATCATGGGTCAAAATGACATGCTTAAAATTTCTAAAAAATCTGCAGACTTTGGTATTGTTTGTTATTACTTGTACCAGAGAAAAGGAGGTCCTTCTGAATGAAAGAAATGTTCTCAGAACCTGTTGCTGACTACATCAGGCTAATTCCTCATCCAGTCCAATGGACCCCATGAAAAAGGTGATTCTTTGCTTACATCTATTTTCCCCCTTTTTACTATGTTTCAGTGTGATTGTACGGAGATGTGCACAAAGGCTGTGACAAGATGGTCTTCAGTGATGCGGTTGAGATGTAAAGGTCACTGTCTGCAAAATTTCTTGCTACTGTGGAGAATCATTCAAATACCAACCTGCTTGGAGCATCTCCTAACGCGCCTGGGTCCTAGAGTTGCCGCGGATAGCTGCCGAATCCGGACCGCAGGTGCGTTGGTGGTGACGAAATAACGGGCTTCCACAGAGGCGGGTGTCTCCCAGGCGGCTTTATTTCCAAGGGTTCGTAAGAGGGAAAACGAGGCAAGGGACGAGGGGAACAACCACTCGGAAGGAAAGCCAGCTCTGAGAGCCCCAAACCAGGGGTGGAGCAGAGATTATAACTATAACTGGGTAGGAGGGTCAGGGTACAAAACGTCCAACTAGGTGAGGGCTTGAGGGCAGAATCAGGGAAGAGCGACAGGGCAACAGCCAACTGGGATGGAGGGAAGGGATGGCTTCGAGGGGAGAACCAACGGGGGTACAGAGAACTAAGAACTTTCCAGAACTGGGGGAAGGAATACACAATGATGGACAGGAGTAAAGAGAAGGGATAACAAAAGACTGACAACCAGGGAAGGCGGGAAACTAAATGTCAGTTGCCTCCCAAGGCAGAGCAGGGGGGCCATCAGCCGCATCCCCTCCCACAATCTCCAGCTTTTCCACTGTTCTTGAAAAGGTAATAAGTAAGGTTCATTAATAATGGTACTAAAGTACAAGACAAACATGGTACTGATGGAAATAGTTAAACCCAAATTCCTTGCTGAGGCTGAACTGAAGTGCCTGTTATGCCATGACACATTCTGAAATTAGGCTGAACAACGTAATTTCTAGTTGTGGATTCTACGGATCCTCCTTGCATATTGCAAAAAGCCAAATCAGAAAATGAAAAAGATTGGTGCCAATTGTTTGGGGAAGTCATTGTTTGTCTGCATTTAGCAAGAAAGGGACACCATTTGGCAGCATGGGGTGCCACCACATTGGTTCCAGATAATAATCACTGTGAATTGAGTAGTAAGGAGAGCTGCCCATTGACCAGCATTGATTGCTGTCCTCAACAGGTGCTAATGTTCAGAGGGCAGATCACAGCTGCTTGCACAAGATTCCCATTATCATTTGCTGGGTATTGATTCTTCCTTTGGGATGTTTCCTTTCTAACTGTGTTAATTTTCCGATCACATATTTGATTTGGTCTGCGCCGAAAGGGGCGAGAAGAGGTGCCTTGCCTATGTTTAATGACCTTCCTTGTCCCCCTGCTCCCTCCCTCCCTCACCAGTCTCTCAAATCTTTAGAGACCATGTCTGCTGGGATCCAAGTTTCCTCTAATTATGGTGCTCATTAATGGACAGACTCTATGAAGAATACCAGTACTACTCTTGTAATTGCTTCAGGTGCACTCAAAAATTAATCAGAAAGTACACAATGGGGTTTTTGTTTTGGTGTGTTTTATTTTGAATCCTTTCTAAGTCTGAAGACTTGGTGCCTGTGTGTAGAGCTCACACAAGCGTAAAAAGGAAAGGATGGGAAAGTAGTTGTGGAGCCGCCAGGACGGGGACTGTTGTGTCCCTTCAGCACTATTTTGGTGCTGCACACAATTAATTAGCTGATGGACCTCAGGTACTATCAAACCAGAATGACAGTGTTATACATTCATTTTGCATGGGTATAAACACCTTTCAGGGTTGACTGGGTATATGGACTTGTCTTTCTGTAGGTGTCTGCATAGTGCTTAGAGCTGTGTTGGGATCTTGCAGAATCTTTGTACTACATAAAGCTGCTTATAAGAATTGTGCCTCAGTTCTCTACTTCAATCAGTCAAAGAAGTCTAATCCATAATTGTTTCAGAGGAGGGAGTAATAGCATATTACAAAAAAAATTTTGTCCAGGATTTTTCTTGTTTTGGCAGATATAACCACATCAGTGCAAATATTACCTTCACATATGAATAAACATTATTAATTTTATCTATGTAGCCAGGGAGTGGAACAATTAATTTAGGTTCTCTGAACAAATTATACTTTTGCACAGAAAAATGGACACCAGTTTCCGAGCCATCCTTAATGCATCTTTGTTTTCTGTGGTCTGCATAGAAAGGAAAGGGTACATCTGAACCTAGTTAGCCACAGAGTAAAAATAGTTGTGGTGTTTCTGTAATCAATAACAAGCAAAAGATGTATGCAATTATCTTCAGCTCCACAATTGAAATGGCCAGGTAGTCATTTATAGCTGAATGTTAGAGTGCAACTTAGATTAAAACCTCTGCAACCTTTTTGCCAATATTTCTGGGTTCCTTGTGGTGTCAACAAATGCAGCGTTATTATAAAAGTAACTCCACTTTGAGCTTCATGGTACCAGAGTGGTTACCTCACCCTGGAAGCACGAAGTCCCAAAGATTGTATTCCAACATTAGGAATTTTCTTCTTTTTTAGAACATATTTCCTATACTCTATGTGCATGGCTTTAGAATGATGTAGTCTACAGACATGAATTTTGGGGTACCCTTTTTAACTCTGGCAGGTTCACAGTCCACCTTACAAAAATGAAGTATGGGTGGGTGTATTAAAAAAGGATGTGAAAATACACAAAACAGTACATAATTGAAAAGAAAATGGTAGGGGACTTCAGCAGCATCTGAACAGCAAGGAGAGGATATGTTCCTCTTTTCATTTTTCTACTGCTGAAGTTGCTTTACCTTTAATGCACAAGAGCTTCTGCTCATCTTGGTTTCCCAGGACTGCAATTGCTTCTGTGGTTGCTGGAGTGAGTAGCTTGTGCTGCAGTGCATGCAGGATTGAAAGAGATGGTTTAATCCTCGGTTGCAGCACATCAGCTCATTTAAGCATCTGTAGTGATGCAAGTGTGGACAAGGGTACAAGTCATCTCATTAACTGATAACTGCTGTATGTTGGAGAGTGCAGACTTAAGCTACTCCTGAAATGAAAAAAGCCATCTGTTTAAGATCAACTGGGACATGAAATTTAAAAAGTAAAAGAAAAAAAAAAAAAAAAAGAGAAAATCACAGCCCAACAGAGAGCCTGAGTCTGCTCTTGCTAATGCTTAAATAACTCAAGGGAAGTGAACAGAAATTAACAGTGGAGGCAGTGTAAAAGCAGTAAAAACAAAATCAGAATCTCTGTCCATAAGAGACATTGTGTATAAACTTTGTAGAAAGAAGATGATTGGGAAGAGAAATGTTGGTAGGGAATGGATAAAGACAAGGAATATTTATTATCTTCCTATTGCAATGCTCTTTCCCCTTCATTGGATGAGAAATTTGAAAATTTTTCCTATTATCTGTCATACTTTGAACAGTTGCTTCCCGGTGTGTTCAAAAGGAGACATTTCAGTTATCTTAACTGGGTTTCCTTTATGGGACTGACTCTTCTCTAAACCAGAAGGGTACAGGCCTGGTATTGCTTATTTGGGACCCACAGAATTGCATTGATGTAAGGGAAGCAAAAGGGGAGAAACCTAGGCTCTGTGTCTGGAATGGAAACTCATGAGTTAAAAAAGAATTACTGGGGGGAGGGGAATTAGAAAAGGAGAAAATAAATTAGAGAATTGAGAATTCAAAGAGGCAGGTGAAGCTGAGAGACAGAGCTTTATTGAAGGGGTGGTGAGATAGTGTTCTGTATAAGACAGGAGTTAACTGAAAGAGAAAAAAATAATTAAATTCAAATAGAAAGCTAATTAAAAAATAAGAGAGAGAAAAGAATATATTAAAAATGGAAAAATGAAATAGAAGGAAATATGAAATAAAAAACCACAAGTACTGAGAGGTAAGAGATGAAGAAAAATATCTTTATCTAAAACAATTGTACAAAATAAAAAGCAGCAACTATTTTATAAAAGTCTTTACCTTTGGATTGACAACCATTCTAAAAGATCTCCAAGAAAAGCAATTCAATTCAAATTTGATTCTAGTTAATTAAGACACCAAAGTAGATTACTGAGTTGGGCAGCAATTCAATGCAGTTGTAGTAGAGCTGTCAATCAGTACAACTGCAATCCAAATTAGATACCAAAAGACAAAAAACCCAAAAAGAAAAGATCTTGATCTTATTTCTCATTGACTTCAGTGGGACAGGAAGAAACCATTGTAAAGAAAAAACCCATTTCTGAGAAAGAGAGAAAATGACAGAGGTTAAGGTCAAAGAGATGATTTGGGCTACAAGCCCAAAGGTGTGAAGATGGAAAGATGTGAAGATGGAAAATGAGGGTTTCCTTCATGTCAGGCTCTTGTTTTCTGGCCTGCTCTGGTATGCTGACTAGATCAAGTGGACAGCTGAGGATGGGACTGTCTGTATTTTCATAAATTTATGAAAGATCCTGAGTTGGAAGGGGCCCACAATGATCATTGAGTCCAACTCTTTATTCCACCCAGGGAATCCTGAAACATAAATCAGGTGTCTAAGTGCATTATTCAAATTCTGCTTGAATACTCAATGGGCCTGGGACGATGACGATTCCTTGGGGAATTTCTCTCACTGCTTGGTCTCAGAGAAGAACCTTTTCCTCACATTCAGTCCAAGCTTCATCTGATGCAACTTAAAGACATTCCTTTGTGTTCTATTACCAGACACTGGGCAAAAGAGATTAGCGTCCTGTTCTCTGCTTCTCAGCTTGAGGGGTTGCAGACAGCAATGTGGTCACTGCTCAGTCTTCTCTTTTCTAAGCTGAACAAACCTAGGATCCTCAGCCAATCCTTCTAAGTCATGTCCAGCTGTCCTTTCTCCATCTCTATTGCCCTCCTTTGGGCACTTTCGAAAGTTTTTATATCCTTCTGATATCATGAAGCCCCAAACCACAGACAGACACAGACAGTACTTGAGGCAAGGCCTCACCAGTGCTGAGTATAGTGGGACAATAATTTTAGATCTGTTAGCTACATCATGTTCAATGCATTCCAAGTATATGGTTTGTCCTTTTGACTGAACATTTTTGACTCAGACTGAGTTTATCATCAGTCAAAAGCCTCAGATCTCCTCCTGCAGGGCTGCACTCCAACCTCTCATTAGGGAGATAGGGATAGATTAGGGAATCTGTCTGTGCATCAGCTTCTCTCCTCTCTTCAAGGCAGCCAGCATGGATAGAATAGGAAGGAAAACAGGTCTTGTCTCAGCCTGGCACACACAGGAAAGAGGTTTGACGATACTTTAGAGCAGAGATGCTGAGCACAATACTTCCTCAAGCTACTTCAAAGATGGTGTAGTTTACTCAACTCCCCTATTCCAAGCATTTCCTGAAGACAGAGTGTAGTGCCTCAACATTAAAGGGACAAACTCTGGCAAATTCTTGACATGCAAGTTATTATCCATGGATTAAAATGGAAAAAATCACCTATAAAACATGTCATATACTGATGTTCCCACTGGTTGCAGGAGTAATGTGTCTGTAAACAGTTTCTGGCCAGGATGCTGCTCAGGGCTCAGGCTGATGGAGGAATTTGCTGTGTGCAGGTCATATCTTCTCCATGTGCATCAGTTTAACCCCAGGGAATTAAATTGCTCTTTTTCTTCTTCACCAAGGCCTTGTGAGAATATACCTGGGACATTTTAGGATAGAGCGATAAACGAATACATTCCAGCTCATGGCATAGCCACACAGTAAAGTTCTGTAAGTGTCTTTTGGACAAATCTTGGTCTTGTGCATATGGATTTAACATGGGCCATGTCTCAAAGCCTCCTGTTAGTCATTACCTGCAGCTGCCGAGCTTTGGTCTTTGGCCCCTGCTAGCCAGAGGAAGCAGAGGCACGCTGTATGATCAGGTACAGAGGTGTGGGAGAGGCCATGCTCTGCAGGGGCTGAGGTGTGGGAGAGGCCATGCTGCTCAGGGGGAGGGGGTGTCCAGGTGTAATTCAGGATGGTAAACAGCCCAATGAGTTTAACAGCACTGTTTAATGACATCGTTACCATACTACACAAACTCCCATTGAAATTAATGGTATTTCACATAATAAAGTACTGTGCAAATACTCAGTTATGTAGAACATTAATGTGCCTTTAAAAAGGTCATAAAACCAGAAAATCAATTTCGTTTCTGTAGTTATATTTGAAGTGGAGGGTCATAATAGAAACACCAGCACACCTAGAGACTGAACTCCTCAGCTTCTGAGGCTTGTAGTCATTTGTTCCCTGTCACTTTAATCCAGTTAGAGATTTTGAAATAAGAATTCTTTCCTCTCTCTTTTCTTTTTTTGTCTGTCAAACAGAATTTCCCCTTGGGTTTCTCCAGTGCAACAGACAACATAAATCTATGGTTTTTGTTTTCTTGTGTATATGCCTGACTCGCAAGTGATGCTAGCAATGAATTATATTTTGTTGTTGACTGAGTTGGAAAACACAAAATGAAACATTTGTTCTCATCCAAAACAATATATTTTTTTGTTCCCTCCACTAAACAAAACGCCAACTCTTTAGACTTCACAAATTTAAACATGTTTTCCTAGAAATCACTAGTGGCAAGTATTTGAGCACACTATTTTATATTTCAAGTATAGAGTGTGGCATGGGTATATTTATTAATAATGTCTCAGAGACCTCTGTTCAGGTTGTGTTTTAGTCCTTACTAGCATAAGATAAATCCTATTTTTTTTTTTTTTTGCCTTTTCCTTATTTCCCTGGTACAGCATATGTACTGGAAGCTGGTACTCTTGCTTCTGTTTAGATATTTCTATTGTTTTCTGTACAAGACAGCATTTCCAACACCTGAGCTGATCCATTAGCTAAGTCAGATCCTCCCCATCACATGAATGTACATGTGTTGCCATGCGAGACCGGCTCCAGGCGGGTGCCTGCAGGCACGGCGGGAAGAGGGGAGAGGGCGGCGGTCGCTTTCCCCTTCGTCTCTGCGAGGCTCAGTTCTAGCATGGGAACAGACGAAATGGCGACACGGGGCTCGGGTGCAAACACGTGTTTATTGTAGAAGCGTGTTCCTGAGACACCAGGGCACCAACCGAGGGTCAGTTCTACCCCTTGCCGGGGGCGTGGGGGAACATGAGCTGCGGCCAATGGGACGGGAGGCAGGGGACAGGGTCAGGGAAACCCCGGATACCTCGGGGACAGTGATGGGAAAGGGGGGGGGGGGGGCAGGGACAGACCGCGTGGTGAGGGGGAGTGATAAGGGAACAAAGGGTCGGGACAAGGGACTGCGGGGGGAGAGAGGAGGGGGAATGGGGGGGGAAGAAGAGAAAATTACAAATCCCACAGCTCACTATTTTGAATTTACATAAAGCAAAGGGAGTTCTGAGGTAAAAACAAATTAGCAACATTACAAATTCGAGAGACATCAGAAAGTGATACACCAATCATAGTTACAATGAAGGGGGCAAAAATCTTTTCCACACTACAATTTAAGATAAAGGGTACAAAATTATCACAACAACATTCTGTATCGAGGATGAAAGCAGGATTCATGACGTGATGCTTGTGGTTTTCAAATTCTAGCAGAGCAGAAGCAGGCAGCGAACAGCGATGTGATTTCTCCAATTTGATTATTTGATTGTGAAGTTGGCATATCATTGTGGGCAGTAATTAGAGAGGATGATTTTTCTTTCTATAAGATATAACTCAATCAAAAAAGTTATTTCCAAAATTATCACAAGCAATGGAGAAAACTTGTATTGAAATAAAAAGGGAACTTTGGGCAAGGTACATTTAGGAGATGGGACAGAGGGGTGAACCTGGGCGCCACTGCTTCAGGGGAAAGAAAACAGTGGAGCTCTGGTCTGGGTTTCCAGCTCCACTCCCTTCGAAGGGCCCCCCCCCCCCCCACCACCACCACACAAAACAAAGGGGAAAGCTCTCTTACAAAGGGAGGTCCTCTAACGGAGGGACCCCTCCGGCGATCCCTCCCATCAGAGGGGGGGCCAGAAGAAGGACTGAGGGATTAATCCAACCTCACCTCCCCCCCAATAGGGGCTGGCTCGCTGCATGATGGTGCAGGGCCATTGGCGGAGGGGTGGGGCTGGCGGGAAAACGTGGGCGGAAGAGAAGGATTAAGGCGGGAAAATGGGGTCCCTGTAGCGTGGCCAGGGCCATCTCGGGAGGGGGTGCCGGGTGCACTGCATCTCTCCCAGGGAGGCATGGACAATGCCACCCCTAAGGGAGGATAACAGTGTCCGGCAGGGCGCTTGGGGCGGCTCGGCCGCTGCCATCCCCAAGGGAGAAGGTTTGGGGAAGTCCGTGGGGAAAAGGGAAGGGGGGGCTTCGCAGAAGCCGAGGGAGAAATCTACAGGAGAGGAGTCCAACATGGCTGGAAGCCGATGAAATGTGTGGATGTGAAGGGCCTCTCTTAAGACGTTAACAATTCTCTCATAGCTGACGTGTCGCTGTTTACAATTCTGTCCCATTGGTGTCCTTTCGACCCCCCCTGCCCCCATAGCCTAGAATAGGGAGGAGAGGGTAGAAAAGGCAGCTTTCCGAGAAAGAGAAGGAGCTTTCCAGTATGAGTTACCCCAAAAAGACTGAGCGAGGTTACGTCATCCTCGGAAAAGAAAAAGCCTCCTGGCCGCCAGGGACATGCAAGGCTACAGCCCCCGTCTGGACGCGGACGGTGGTTAAAACTCAGAACAGAAAAAAAGGTAGCTCAGCCGCCTGCCAGGGTCCCACCCTGCTCTGACCCAACTTATCCTCCGGGCTCGGGTGGGGAAATCTCTAGCTCTCTCTTCAGTGGTGGAAAATCGCGCTGAACTGAGAACGTATTCTTTCGCAGTTTGGCTCTGCCAGAAGCCTGGGTGTTCCCATTAACCAGAGCTCCTCCCTGAAACCCTGGGTTCGACCGCTGTCAGCCTCTGGTCTCCATTCAAATGCTGTCCCCTGACGGGCCACTTTTCGAGCTCAGTCCATCGAGCCACTGCCAAACTGTCCTCCTTGTCCTCGGGTAAGTCTACCCGGCTCCCGGCCCCTGCAGTCCGGTTGCCTCTGCAGCGTGGCTGCTCCCGGGCGGGTTAGAGAGCACACTGGCGAGGACAGAAGAGGGTCCCTGGAGCTTCGGGTTTGTTTTCTGCTCAGCACATCAACTCCTCTTAGCGTCTGCAGAGCTCTTACGGTGGCAGAGTTCCTTTCTCTCTCCTCCCTTTCACAAATCAATGGAAATGGCAATCCTCTGCTACCATTTGTTGCCGTGCGAGACCGGCTCCAGGCAGGCGCCTGCAGGCATGGCGGGAAGAGGGGAGAGGCAGTGGCCGCTTTCCCCTCAGCTCTGCGAGGCTCAGTTCTAGTGCGGGAACAGACGAAATGGCAACACGGGGCTTGGGTGCAAACACGTGTTTATTGTAGAAGCATGTTCCCAAGACACTGGGGGACCAACCGGGGGTCGGTTATACCCCGTGCCAGGGGCGGGGGGAAACATGAGCTGCAGCCAATGGGACGGGAGGCAGGGGACAGGGTCAGGGAGACCCCGGGGACCGCGATGGGAAAGGCGGGGGGGGGCGGGCAGGGACCGGACTGCGTGGTGAAGGGGAGTGATAAGGGAACAAAGGGTCAGGACAAGGGACTGCAGGGGGAGGGGGAACTGGGGGGGAAGAAGAGAAAATTACAAATCCTGCGTACATGCTTCTTTTTCCTATGAGTTTTTTGACCCTTCTCCTTCATTGCTTTTGTGCATGTCTCTAAAATCTTTCTGGGATTTTTATTTATTCCTCATTTCTTTTGACAGACAGTAAAAGCTGGTTCATCAGTCAGTCTCTTCAGCCAAAATTGGTAAAATAATGGCTATTAAGATTAACATTTACTCAGAACTCCTCATCTTGTGAGAACATGTGAGTTGAATTCATACAAACATTTCAGAGCACAACAATTTGCCTTATAACTTCATGAGTGAAGTTTGTCAGTTTTACTGAGGCAGAGTCATCAGCTCTTCACAGGAGGCATCGCCACAACATATTTTGTGACCTCATCTGTGGAGGTTTTCTTATCAAAAAAAAAAAAAAGAGAACTATAGAACTATAGTCTCTATAATGAGAGAAGCTGATATCAAAGGACGTGGGACTTGCAGAAGTATCAAATGACATATGCCACCATCTAAATGACATAGACCACCATCTATATGCAGATACAATTAAACACATGAAGACCGAGTGTGGGAAAGCTGGCATTGTGTCATTCCTGTGACAGGGCACATGTCTGTGATGCAAGACAGCAGTCCCAGAGACCTGGACTGTTGCACAAATCTGCCCTGTAGTCTTGTGAGGCAATTCCTGACACACATAACTGTAAGACAAATAATAAGATCTGAAGAATTGCACAAGGTGCCCTGAGTGCTCAGAAATGTTCCCAGCAGAGCAGGTAGTGATCGTCTGTGCTTTGTTTGAGTCTAAAGGTCTAGTACAGGACTATTGTATTACTTTATTTTCAGTTCTATAATCATCACCCCAGACAACCCAAATTTGCATAAAATCAAAGGCAGAGACAGAAGGGTAATAAAACAGAGAGGGGAAACAGACTGTAGGGATTTGAGGAGAAGGGGGTTAATGCAGGAAGTGAAACAGTCAATGGAGATTGAAAAACTGTTGACGAAAGAAGCATCTAAGTTAAACTTTATCTTGCTTGACATACAAGTATAGGTATATAATGTACACTTTTTCTATGGTATCTGTGCCTCTTTTTGTTCGGTTTTCTTTTCTTTTATTTTTATTTTCTGAATAATCTGAAGAATATGTTTATGAACACATTTTTTCAACCTCCTTATTTTCTCAACTTCCTGAGCTCAGCTGAGTAGGAGTCAGTACTCTGTAGCTACTCCACAAGCAACCAGGAGACTGGTAAGATTATGGGATATCCCCAAGGAATTTGGGAAATGCCATGCATCTTGGACCTCACAAAAGGTCTGGGGAAATATGCTTGCATTCCAGTTCTGATAACAAGCTTATGTAGTCTCCTTCAAAGTATATGCAGCAGTGTGTCCCAGGCCTGTACCCAAATCTCCAATAATTGTGCAACTAAAGAAAGAAAATGGTTTTTTCCAGGGAAAAAAATTTCAGATGTCCTTTGTCAGTGGTAAGAACTGAACTCCTGCTGCTTTTAAATGAAACTAAGTTCTGGGAAATAGGGACATGAAATTTCCTGTGTCTCCTGTGAAGAACAAATTCTCTTGTTCTACTGGACTATATTTGATGCTCATCTTTAGCATCTTTGACACATTATACATTGAGTTGAACCCTGTAGTTCAAAGGTGTTTCCCATTTTTTGTTACTGAACTTCAAGACAAAGACTACTTTGATCAGGACTTTTGAGTTTTCGATGTTTTGATTACATTTTGCATTCTTCATTTCATGTATAAAGCTCACCATAGGTTAACTTGAGGTTTCTCAGTTTTCTTCAGTACTTTTCTTCTGGGATTCCATGACAACTGTTCTTTTATCAGTTAGATACTACTAATTCAGATGCTCAGGCTTAGATCAGTCACAAAAATCTCCCATTGCTTTGCTTCCTTTTTTTTTTTTTCCTTTCCACTTCAGATCCCAAACAAGTTTTACATATTTTCTTTCACTGAGCATGCTACTTAATCCTGCAGTAAGTCTGCTCTTCCTGACTTCACTGAAAACTTTAAAAATTGTCAAGTGCTTCAGGGCTTGGACTTGATCAAGGAAAGACAACCTGTGTGTTTTTCTTCTCATTGGCACCTGGTGCTTTCCAAACCCAAATGTACTGTTGTTTAAAAATAATTTGTTTTCATGTTTCTGGGTGAGTTTCAGCTCCATGGAAATTCTTACTTTGGTGTTTTTCTTTCAGAGGATTTTGACTTCTTATTACCTCTATTGCCTTGCAGTAGTCAATAAGATCTTTGGGCCTGGAGTGATTTAAACAACTCTTATTAAGGTACATGATAGTAAATCCTTTTGATTAACAGAAGAAAAGCCCCAGAGATATCCTTTTTGCCTGGGTTTTCCAACGTCTGGAGTAAAAAGTACAAAGTTACCAACACATTTTGTCTTGTGGGAAGGAGAAGATTTTCCTGCTCATAAGGCTGGTAAAGGTTGGGAAGAAAACTCTGCACTCAGTAAAGTAAAGGAAATTACAGTAATCTGCCTGAACTGTAGCCCTGTTAGCTGGGAGTTCACAATCAGCATGCTCCCAGGTTCCAGCTAGCCCATGTATTTCATCTAGAGCTATGAGGAGTGGCAGCAGTGATGGCTTTTAAGAGGAAAGAAGTGCTGGTAGAACTTACTCCCAAGGCTAAAAAACGCACAAATTCTTAGAGTCCTTTAAACCAAGTTATAATCATGACAACACCATTCATCATAGCAATGCCCATCCCTTCTTCACATCAAGCCAGCCCCTTTAAACACAGCTCTTCCTGCTGTATGAAGTTATTCAATGAAAGATTTTATTACTGCTGTCTGTACTATTTTTCCAGGGTGCTACCATAATAGAAATCAACACAGCGAAATCAGTAATAATCACACATGTTTCATATTGGTTCCCATGTGGAAAACATTTCAAAGGTGTCAGTGCCTGGAAAACCTGATGGTTTCATTGAATACCAGAATGAAACTCCAAGGCAAACCCTGAGGAGAGATTAACACTTGGAAGTATAAAATTCAGGTAGTAATGAGAAGCCAGGTGTTCACTGTCAAGGATTCCAAGTTTCCCTAATTATGGGCAAGTATCTGACTTTAACTGCCTCTCTCAGGTGAGCTAGTAATCCTTTGTTGACAAAGATTTATAAAGAGAAAAAAATAACAATAGGAAAAGAAAAAGAAATATGCCTCTGTTTCCTGCTATGGAGAACATATTACACAAGCAGCCCTATTTCTAACTAAATTAAGATGAGAGAGGGAGTTGGAAGTCATGTTGCACCCACAGTGATCATTCTGCAAATTGCAATATGGGTCTAGAATTTCATGTTAATTACATTTTATTTGAAAAGTGCTGCACTACCCAGTATTTTCCACAGCAGTGGAGGCTTGATTCTGCTCTCAATTATGTAGGTGTAAAGTGGAGTATCTCCAGTGATGCTAATGAAGTTAGAGTATTTTAACACTGAAATGAGGAGGATTACAATAAGGCCCTAGAGTCTGCAATATTGCTACTGCAGTTAATGATCATTACTGCAGAATGCTGTAGTCTGGTAATTATTTCGTTCATGCAGGTAGACAGATACACAACACTGGCACTGATTGTGTCTGTAAGAGAAGGAGTCCAAAAATTTCCAGCCTAATATTGTCTCTCCAAATTGCATTGCATATTCCTTTTTGTATGTATTGTGGCTCTGTGCAGAGGGGAGTGTGTTTGATTTTGAGGAGCTAATTTAAAAGGCTGCATGGGTGCTGAGTATCAAGGTGACAAAACTGTGCCTTCTGTTTCATTAATCCTTTAGGCTGCTGTGACATCTATTGACATTATGTGGAGACCCCATTACTTTTGCTTCTTTTGGAGTGTCTTGATACACACCTTAAAGTACAACACCTTAGATAGTCCTAGTTCTAACTGCTTTCCAAGTCTCAGCTTACCAAGCACAGTGTTAAATGCCACCCAGGCTTTCCTGAGCACCATGTGTGAGTGTGTTTTGGGAAAAAAGTAGACCCACATTTTTTTGGAATATTGAGTGCAGTGGGCTCCAGTCAGACTTTGTGCTGGCAGCCCAGGACAAGAGTGGGTACCTTGAGTTCATCTCTCCCTTGGCAGTTGAGGACTGAGAAGCTTCATCTAACCTGGATTAACAGTGTATGCTCAATCACTGGCGCATGATTGTCCACAAATAAACTGCCAAGCAAGGACCCTGCAATGGATTAACCAGCACATAGCTGGAGATGGATGGCAATAGAATATGTAACAAGAATTATCCCTAAAAAGCAGTTAGGATATGGCCATCCTGTTCAGGTCATGACTATAGTTGAATGAGGGCTGGGCCATGCTTAAGGCATCTTTATGCCTTAAGCATGAAGATCCATACTTAAGATCTTTATCTCTAGTGAGAAGACAGCTTCTAGTTTGCTCATATTTGCATAGCTGTAACATAACACAGATGCAGCTGGAGCAGGGATACATTTTACTTTTAATTGGAGCTCTGCAGGGCCAAACTCGTGTACCAGCCTCATAGCCCTGGGGTGACCCACTGGCTACCTTTGAGGACCTAAGATCTTAAGGGCTGAATTGTATGATTTAAGGAAAAAGGGTGCTCCACATGGACAGGTCTGGATGCATTGTACCTGGTGATAGCGTCCAGCTGGCCCAGTGTCTGAGCAACTCTGAGTCACCAGCCCAAATGTTACCTACAGAGACCCCAGCATTAGGGGAGGAAGGTTGCAAGAGAGCAGTAGACAACTTGATGAAAGAATTGATGTAAGTTGAGGGTCTCAGGACACTGACTTTTGCCTGGTCCTGGGACTGACCATTCATGTAGCTTTGGAGTAACTGGTGTGAATGAAAAAAGCTGGATTAAGGCACCTAGCATTTTAAATAATCAACACAGTCTGAATGTATATCCAGTGCCAGACTCTTTGTCTAGCTATCTAGCTATCTGGATTGTATATTCCCCATATAATAATATATTTATTTTTAAGAGGGCTTTTTTTTTTTTGTGACTGATCACTTAAAAACTCCCATGCTAGCCTGTTTTCTTCAGCCAGGTGACACAAGATTAGCATCAATACTTATAATGAATTTTGACCATATGACAACATATGACAAAAGGAGAACAGATAATTTAAAAAAAAATGTTATTAAAAGATTACTATCTGTTTTCAGCAATAGTGCAGTCCAGGTGTAGCAGATTTCATAATAGCTCTAACATCCACTACATTTGGAGGGTAAATTTTCAAAGGCATAAGTAGTAAAAAGATCCCCAGGTCAGTTTGGCTGGGAGAAGGGAAGCTGTCTTTATGTGTCTTGCAGGTTCCTGGGGATTTCCCACCTTCGTACTTTACACTGGGGATGGCAAGTCCAGAAATTGTTCTGTAGTTGTGCTTTGACAGGCGCATTTCTGCCATTCTGTGTTTGGAGGTGTTGAAATGCTGCTGACTTGTTTGTCACAATATTACTCCTAATGCCTTTTAAAAATTACTGTGTGTTGTCTGCTCTTCTTTCTCAAGTGATGGTGAATTAGAGGGGAAACATGGAACTGAGATGGAGTTGCCTTTGCAGACAGCTTTGGTAGGAGGCAGGAAGAGTCTGTGATGGTTTTACATCATAAGGCTTGTTCCTTTTCCTTTATCTTCATCTGAATGGAAATGTATGACTTCACCTCTCCCCAAAGAGAAAGCCACCACAAAATGTCTTCAGGCAAAGGGTTATGAATCTCTTCTCATTAGGCACTCGAGTACCTGAAAGCCGAATTTTGAGAGGCTTCTCCTGAAAGGATAGCCAGCTTTGTCTGTGAGATAAAATGCAGCTTTTCTTCAGGAAGGACATCACAGTTCAGCTCAGAAGCACAAGCTGGAAAAGGCATACTGCACATGTTCATCATGTATTCTATCTCCTAGGATGCACAACTTGAGAAGAGTTTGTATGTCACTGCAATATGTCCCCTTGTTTATCTTCCAGACAGACTTCATGCATCATGGTGATAAATTGGGCAATGCATAGGGCCAGTTCCCTCCTACTGAGGTGAGTGGGAGCTGCATGGTGCCTGATACCAAAGCTAGGGAATTATTCAGACTGACTATCATAGCTAAGTGCATGCCAGGTTTGTTTTATTTTCTTTGACAGATCTTTTGAGGACTTAGGGATCTGAGGGGTGATTGAGTTTCCACAGCAGAAGAAAGGAAAGTAGTACCACCTGTTCAGTAGCACTCCATGTATCACATGCATGGGTGGCATTGGCAGTCTGGGGAGTAGCTCAACTGCAGGTGCAAGAGGCTCCAGCTTCAGGGAAAACAAAATCTCCCTTTCTCTGCTGGAGCTATTGCTTAGGGTTTATCCTTTTTAGTATTTGTCCTGGAGGGTTGCTTATGGCATTACTGTGACATAAACAATTATTAATAATGATTCAGCAACTGTATCACCCTGTGTAAAAGAAAACAAAACCAAATAAGGCTAATCTTTTGCAATGCTACTTGCAGTTTCCTACAGGGACTGTTATTTATCTTCCAGCCATAAAATAATTAAATCTTACTGTTTTCCAGTTGTGAAGGAGCTGAACAATGAGGATTCAATCCTCACATGGCCTATATCTTTGGGACTCTGGGTCAAACATTAAGATAATATTTTACTAAAATGACTTTTATTTTTATTGTTTGTTTGAATACTCAAACAAAAGAGTTTCAATTGTTTTGATTCAATATCACTGCAGCGAACAGTATTCATACACCTGGAGTCTGATGCACTTGTTCCTCACATTTGTGATGTGAAACAGTGCCCATTTTATTAACTGGAATCCAATACGTAGCAGTGAGCAGTGTGTCCAAGCAGCTGCTCTCCAGTGCACATCTCTTTGTGTAGCTTTTGTGTAGCCCACCCCTTGTGCAGCACTGTTCTGTATCCATGTCTGTCATCTCACAAGGGCTCACAGGGAGAAGGAGACTGCTCATGTGCAGTCTCCTGCTGGGGGTTTCTTCTCCCCAGCATCTGATGTTTGCCCAAGGATCACTCCCTTTCCATAATGCAGGCACAATATTGCCTCATGTTATATCAGTGATTTGCTCCTTCACTGATGGAATTCTTGCTGTAATGGATAGAAGTGTTCTAGTATAATGAATGCTGCTGATCAGTGAGCTCTGCAAGACTGTCTAGGATAGACTCCTACTTACATTTTGGAGAATGTGAGGGAGGGTAAATCTGGATGGAGGTGTGGGGGTGGAGGGGTGGGGGTGGAGGGTTATAGGGATTGTCTGACTGTCTCTTTTGTCCCTGACAGTGTTCTGGTATCACTGTATCTGGTATATCACAGACATACCTCTGACTCCAAAAACTTCCCAAGTGTCTGGCTAACAAACACATTTAATTTTGCTTCAGTTCTATCAGAAAAGAAGAAGGGGTTAATACAAATGCCGTTGTCATGATTGTAAATACAACTTGGAGAAGGAAGCAGAGAAGTCACTAGTTCCTTCTGAATCCAGTCTGGTGATGCAGAGAGAAAAGTGTGTGGCCAAGAAGAAAAACACCGTGTATATCAAAACATAAATGAAAAAAAATCTCGAGAATGGGAAATGCTGAAGATAAAGAGAAAGAACCCAAGAGAATAAAAGCAAAGATAATAAACAGCCACAGCCAGACTCAGATGTTCTCTGTCCCATTAGAGATGACTTTACCAACATGTATTACCTCACTGTAAAGGTATGTAAATAGGTGTGATTCAGGATGTGTCCAAATGAAGCCTATTGTTTTATCTATATTAAAATATAGAAGTGAATAGCTGTATAGTGGTACCTGAATTAGTAATTGCAAGGGACTAATTCCAACATATCTTAGGGGTTTAGCCATGTAAATCACACTGACCTTCAGTAGTGCCTATGCACCTACATCAGGAGCTCTAGAAAATCTGTGTGCATGTACTGGCTCCAGGGAAAAGTCCAGTGCTATTATTATAATGTGACTATGACTTTGAGAACCTGTAATGTACTCAGTTTTATACAAATTTACACAGTAGTATTTGTCAGGGTTGTTGTCACTGAAGTGGAAAGCTCAAATTGGTGTGAATTACTGAGACTTAATATTGTACTTTGAATTATGACTTTTTATATTTACATGAGAGTGTCCTTTGAGTTGCATCTGGTTTTTGTGCTGTTTACAAACTGCTCTAAAAAGCTGAGCTGAGAATATTCGCAGTTAGTTCAGCATGTGAAACAGAGAAATAGAATTTAGCTCTATTCTTAAACCATGATTATTTATGTAGCAGCCGTGTTGGCCAACAAAAAGAGAGAAAGCTGATGGGCATGAAAATAACCAGTCTGCTCATACATGAGATTTGCTTGCAGTGGTCCCAGCAGGAGCTTGAAGAGGACTGTGTATATTGTGAAACACAAGGATGTATAGTTAATGCATGCCAGAAATGACCATTTGTGGGGCTACTTAATGCTAGAAATCCCACATGGTGATGAGATAATGTGATCCTGGAGTGCATTGTATAGGATTCTGTCCGGATAGTTCTTGAATATATCCAGTGAGGGAGACTCCACAACCCCTCCAGGAAACCTGTTCTAGTGCATGGTCACTTGGACAACAGAGTTCTTCCTCATGTTGAGATGGAACCTCCTGTGCATCTGTTTCTGCCCATTGCCTCTTGTCTTATTGCTCAGCACCACTTAGCAGAGCCTGGCTTCATCCTTTTGGCATCCTCCCTTCATATCCTTATAGATATTGATGAGATCCACTCTCAGTCACCTATTCTCAAGTCTACAGGCCCAGATCCCTCAGCCTTTCCTTGTAAGAGAGATGCTCCTGTCAAGTAATCATTTTTGTAGCCTCTGCTGGATCTGCTTCAGGAGCTCCATGCCTCTCTTGTACTCAGAAGCCCAGAACTGGACACAGCACTCCAGGTGTGGCCTCACCCGGGCTGAGCAGAGGGGCAGCATCACCTCCTTTTACCTGCTGTCAATGCTTTCCCTAATAGAGTCCTGGAGAAATAAAGAAAGAACTCAGAAAGCTACAGGAACACGTATGCCTGTGCTCTGGGAGCACCTCGCTGTTGGTAATGAGTGTGGGCTGGTGTATCAAGTTACCAGTTTAACATAGAAATGCAGACTAAATATAAGAAGACATGTAGCTGTATAGATGCACACTCAAAGATAAATTAATGGAAGACTACATTTAGAACAACTTACAGTTGGGAAATGAGGTAATCAGAGGTGTGAACGCATTAGTATTGTGAGATCCACAGGCCTTGTTCTGATTCCTGGAGACATATCCATTGGCACATGTGCTGTGAAAACTATTACTTGATCACATATAATGGCTTTTCAAAGGGTGCCTACATTGGCTATTGAATGGCATGGACAAAGACTGATGGTTGAGACAGATGATCAATAATTAGTTTTAACCTTCTTTTTCTTGAAAAATGAGTATTTTGTTATTTTCTGCTGGCCAGTACTCTCTCTAATGACTTTGAATCTATTGGACCATCTAAACTAAACTTGATGTGGGGAAGGGGGAAATAGTGTGTGTCCTCAAAACCTTGCTAGGTTGGCTCAACCAGCATATTAAGTATCAGAAAATCACTCACTCACTCAGAATGAAGCAGGTTCAGTTAATACTGCATTTCACAATCTATTTGTCACTCTTAGTGCTCCTCATATGCAGTCGCAGCAGCAGGCGTGCACCAGATAAGGAATTTTCACAGTGCCATGAATTTTTTTTGGCAACTGCTGGTCTTATCAACCAAGTACCTTGCAAATAAGCGTCACAACGATAAAGGGAAAGATAAGTGTTATTATCTATTTGCTATGGAAAAGGATCTAAATATACAGTGCCACCAATTTTGCGTGCTTCTATAGACATTTGTGTAAAATGGAACACAGCTAGATTTTTCTGATGTTCCAAGCACTGAACACTCTCAGAGAGAGCTGAAACAAGTCAGAAGCACTGACAGGGACATCCATCCCTTGGGGAGGCAAATCTTTGCTGACCTTTTGCACTATTTTGTTGTATGAGTGAGTCTCTGCTGGAATATGTGCGATTTTGTGTGATTTGTCCTTGTAAACTTATTTGTCTCTTCATAATACAGTGGACTCAGGTGAGGCTGGACACTGAAGGAATTGGGAATAAATTTCTGCTTTTTCAGAGTGTAAATTTTGAAAATGTGAGAATCTTGGCATTGAGAAGGTGAAGAATATCTTACTCCACTTAATAACAAGCTACAATGAGAAGTAGTTTGTCCACTGTCAATATCTGACATTGTCTCTTGTTCTCTCCTGCATCCACCTTTCTCTAGCTCACATTCCTGAAGCCCTGCAAGCTCTTCAGTCTTAGAAAATCCATCTCATAATGCCAAAACAGGCTGATGGGGTAAAGCAAAACTTTTTCCTTTAGCATCTCTATTTCTCTTACTGTGTTCTTTTTTTTTTTTTCCTTGTCCCCATGGGAAAGAATCTATGTTATGAATATTTCTCAGACATCTCTCATGGTCCTGTCTAAGAGAGAAAGGAAGAAGAGATAAAACAGACAAAATATGAAAACTTTTGCAAAGATGAAACCAAGAGGGTAATTATTACACTAAAAATGCAGCAGAATGAACAGAAGGATAACTCTGGGACAACTTGCTGGTATGGCCATCTCCTTGATATCGGAGGTTATTAATTTATGGAAGTGTTCATAGGATCAGAATACAAAATATTTCTCAGATTTTGTCTACTTCTATTAAAATGTCAGCTCCAAAATGACAGGGTTTATTAAGTAATTTCTAATTGGTCTAATTTCTTTACATATGCAATACTGTCATCAATAAAAGCTACAAAAATATATAAAATACATAATGTCTTTGTCTGAATAGGTAGCTGAAAGTTGCATTTTAAAGCTTATCTGTCTTGTTTCCTTACCAGAAGGAAAGTTTCTGGTATATTGTTCTTTTCATTACTTATATAGCATTCCGTCACATATCGACTCAAATTAGAAAATTCATATGAAGTGTAACTCTATATAAAGTCGGAGAAAAGGAGACAGAAGACTGCAAAGGTTTTGTTAATTTGTGATGAAACTGAAAGTCTTCTCATAAAGCTGATACTAAACTATTTTGGGTTTTAGATATACTAAATTATATATAATATAATATTATACTGATATTATGCAGTCAAAATGAAGGCACCTTTCCCCATATTGTACTGTTATAGACATAAATAAAATTTATGTGCAATATTTTATTTAATCTCATAAAATTAATCCAACAGCAAAACTGCAAAATTTTGTGTGGCAATATAACTTTGTATTCATGGCTGATTTTTCCCCTTTACACAGATAAATAATGTGGGTTGATGCAGTGTCCTAACACAATAGGGGCTAATGAATAGAGCTTGCTGTGCTCAAGAGACTGCAGTTCAATTACTAGTGGTGCCAATCAAGTCAGAAATATTAACCATGGTAACAGCAGTTTTGAGTTACATGGAATGAGGCCGTGGCTTCTTGGGGAAGATCACCTCTTGGGAGGGAAGGGAATGTTCACAGTAAGAGCTGCAGAAGGTCAGAGATTGCTTCTTTACTGCAAGGCAGAGCAAGACAACTCATGTCACAGGAAGGTTTCTTCTGTTTTTGTACCTTTTCATTGCAAGTGCGTCTGAGAGTTCATAATATGTAAGTGTGACTAACCATGGGATCCGTGCATAACCAATAGAATTGGATTTCCTATGTATAAATGTATAGCAGTTAATCATATGAAAGATAAATGACAAATCAGATTAGGTCCTAAGCAGGAGTAAAATGTTGCTGAAGTCAGTGTAACTAGGCTGAATTACACCAATCAATTCTGTAGCCTTTTATGAGGATTTACTTAATATAGTGCATTTGTTCTGCTGGCTGGTGATCAGAGTGAGGATCCCTTAATGTGATACAATGGCAGTGTTATGTATTAGTAGCATGAACAGGAAGCAGCTGGCATCCTGCTCAGAAAAAAAATCTCAATTTTTATTGCAGAGAACAATATTGAAAAACAGTGTGTGTATGATGGGCCTAGTCCTTAAAAATTAGTCAGTTTGGATACTGGTCCCTTTGAATTGACTAGTCACTTCTGGACTAAATCTGGATTAGTTTCTTTTCACAGAAACCTTTTCTGCTCTTTGTCCTTTGGAATACAGAGAAAACCAATGAGAGCCCCAAAATGGCTTTTTTTTGCACCTGCCTGCTGACTCTCCATCTCTTTCAGCTGGTGAGTATGCTCAGTTGTGGAGTGCTTTTCAACTTTTCTTTTCCATGAAGAGATGGCACATCTCTTTGGTCAGCATCACTGAAGCATTTTCTATTCTTTGTCTTGAATACCATGAAAAAGACAGCTATTAAAGATGGTTACTGTGTTGTTGGAACTTAGTCTTTGTTAACTGAAACTTCTGCAAAAATTTAGGATGTGTTTCTTAAGAACTGAAGAGTAAGAGCAACCTATAAAAGAATTTGAATCTGACTGCAAAGTGGTGAAAATAGTGCATGCTTTCTACTTTTTCTGAAGATTTTGGAACATGCAATAATTATCATGATCTATCTGTGGGGTAAACAGGTGTTGTATGTGGACAGAGCAGCTGGATTACAGAGGTTTCTCCTGCTAGTTCAGGCATCTGAAAAGAAGTCATCCTTGTTCAGTTTCACCACTATAGGCCACTCTTTTAGTCAAACACTGCAATTTCGAGGGATGTTTCACCTCAGCTATCTTAAAACTTATCCCAGATTAAAAGGAAGAAATGTCTTCAGAAATGGAGCTTAGGGACAATTTGTCAATGCATGTTTGGGCTCTAAAGCCAGGTGACATGAAGTGGCTTGATGATTGTGTCTGACAAGGCAGGAAAGCTAGCAGCAAAAGAAGTGAGGGCAGGCAAGGCTTTGTAGTAACTGAGCCTGTTTTTGGCTGACAGGAGGTTGAATTTTTATTCCACTTTTAACCTACTGTCTATTTGACCTGAGACAGGGTCATTTTCCATTATTATCTCCTTTTTACCCCTCTTCTTCCTCCATGCTTAGTCTATTTAAGTATTGATCATTTATTAATTCAGTGTGGGAGACATTCCCTCTTTTCTCCTAGTGAAGACTGAATCCTGGTGTCTTACTAATAGTAGAAAATGTGAGCCATCTGGTTAAGCTGTCCTGGTAGAAATGCTCTTAAGTCATTATTGTTTCAATTGCATTGACTATCCATGGAAGAGGATGAAAAGCCACTTTCATGTTTCTTAGAGAAATGCCCTGAGCTAACTGTGATTTACTCACTCGATTGATAAGTAACCAATAAATGTGAGACATCACCAGAAACAGATGATTGAGGAGGTTAGTGTTTAGACTGATTGGCAGTCTCTTCTTAAGACATTTGCTTGAAAAAATGGAAGATTTTAACATAATATTCATGTCATGTTATGACTGGTTCAGAACAGTGCCTGAGGCTAAGGTAGTCTACAGGCTCAGTAGCCACTAGGCTACTGGGCTATTTTCTTGTCAACTCAAGGAATATTAAAATAACAGTAAAGAGTGTCTGAATAGTCTAAATGCTTAGTTCAATGTCTTTGGACATTCTCTTTGGAGAAAAGTGGTTTGGGTTAAAATTGTGTTTAGTGAAGGACAGAATGGAACCAGTCTCATGTGTCTGGGTAGGGCTGTAATAATTGGAATAGAGCAAGTAACCAGAGTGATAGTTAGCAATGTTATCAGCATCTAGCTCTCAAACCCTAATTACACTTATTCAGTGTGAATCCAGAATAATTTCAGGATTCCTGAAATTATACTTCTTGGCAAATGCTGTGTGTTATTTCACCTGATCTTGATTTGTCATATAATCAGCCCACAGCACCTATTGAGTTGCTCGTAATGGTTGGTTTAGTAGGCAATATGTGAAAATACAGGAAACAAAAATTTGGAAACTATGTACCCTAAATTGCATCCTTGGCTATTTTGGCTTCAGTGGAACATTCTGAATTTTCTTCTTCTCTAATGAATCTTTATCAAATAATCTCAGCCATTTTGGCAGTATTCTCCACAGTAAAAGTTGTTAATTAGCAAATTAAAAGGCACCATCTCAATTTTAATTTTTTTTCTCAAAAAAAAAAGCTGTTAAAATAACTGGTTTTTTGGACCCCTTCCCCCTCATCTAAGTGCAAGTGTATGAAAGGAAATCTGTTTAATCTTCACTCTTATACTTTCCTGATTCACCTGGCTGCTCTTGGGAACTTAGGGGAAAACAGTTCAGCATGGCAGATGAAAATTACAAAGTAAGTTTTATGCAATGTGTTGGGATGAATGAGACTCTACTCCTATTGTCCCTCACTATTGCCTCCCCTCAGCTCCTGTCTGCCATATGAAGAAATGTGCTAGCAAAGTATTTGTGCTGGAATATGGATTTAACAACAGTGTAACTGTCATTTCTGACCTTATAGTGAAAGTTAGTTGAATGATATTCAGGCCAGATCTACAATTAACAATATATCCTTTGTTATTAACAATATTGCACTCTCTATAACTGAGGAAAATATCTCATAACAAGCAAAAAATCCCAACAAGCCAACCAACAAAATAAAAATTGAGAGCCTTGAGTCTAGTAAGCCTCATAAATTGTTTTTCATGTATTTTATTTTTTCTTATTTAGAAAAGTTAGGACAATAGTTTGTCTTCAGAAAATCTTTGCTATCATAGTATAAACTACCCAGTTGTTTTCCTTGCTGAAACCACAAGTCATGATGTGCAACATGATTTTGCTGGTCCTTTTAGACAATTGCAGGTTACAAGCTAACAATAGTGCACTTCCTTGTAAAAAGTAGTTTAGCTTCAATATGAGGTATATCAGTGCCTGGTGCCTGAATAGTCACTGGCAATAGTCAGACCAGAATTGCAGCAATGCTGTGCTTGGTTAAAATATGCAGGATGTTCCCATGTATGGAGCTAAGTTATTCTTTTAACAGGTAAAAGTGAATTCTGTGGTATAAACAAAAAACCCCATGAGCTTCACAGAGGTGATACACCATAAGCTAAGAGGCTGGTGAGCCTGGCCCTCAGCTGGCATTAAAAGTGAAAGAATTACTGTCTCAAATAAGCATACGGAGCTGAAGTAAGGCAGAGGCAGATTAGAAGAGTGTGGAAATAGGAATTGCCTTACTGCTTTGACAGTAATTTACCTGCACTGCAGCTATCTCATGAAAATGTCAGCACCTCATGTGAATGAGAATCCACGTCTCTAGAAAGGCAAAGCACAATGTCTACTTGAGGCAGGAGTGTGAAAAACAATGAACAGCCTATATCTTATCACATGAATTTCAGCTGGAAGACTTTCTGCTCCAGAAGGAGCTCCTTGTTTTAGAAGACATTATTTTCTCATGTCTCTCTCTGAGTGGTTGTGGAGCTGACATAAACTTTATGTCTAGTCTGCTGCAGAGAACGTGGGACACTGTAGCCCAGAGGAGGAAAGCTCTATAGTGGACAAAGAACAGCCAATGCATATCAGCAACTTAAAGAAGATACCAAATGATTCCATTACCAAAGTGATATATACATTAACACAAGTTTCAACACCATAGTCTTTCCTTTTTAATAGCTAAGAATGGAACAGAAGATAATTATCTAATTTGCTTCAGGGCAGTGAATTAGATAATGGAGAGTAAGCTGAGTGCAAAGAGTAAGTGCAATCAGACATCTGTGTGCATTAAGATTTTTCTGAAGCAGAATGTAACCTTGATAGCAAAGAGAAGATTCCTTAGTGCTATTATCCTGCTGAACACAAAGAGTTAGCCAGAATGTTATTTTGTTATGTTCTTGTCTAGCTGTTGATCTTTCCAAAGAGACAGAACCACAATCTAGGCCTTGAACAACTCAAAAAGAGTGGTTTGAAGAATTGTGGACGTGCATAAATACTAAACTGTTGTAAATGGCAGGGGAATGATTCCATTTTTAGTAAAGAAATGTGACTGCCTTTATTATTGTTTGTTTAAGAGTCCTGCAGTTTCTTCACAATTTGTACAGATGTGTTCAATTTCAGTCGTTTGCCCTGTCAGTTTTTCTGATACATGGTACATCATTTTCTTTAAGATGCCTAAGTGGTGGTGATTAGTGGTGTATGATGAATGAACAAGGAAACTTTACTTTAAAAGGAAGAATTCGCTATGTGTTCTATATGTGAAAGTAAAATGTAGACTCTCCATTGTAAATTATAAGTTGCTGTAGTTCCTGCTTCATGTTATGTTGAAACACCACAGCCCAAACAACACTGAACATGTGCTATGGCTGTAAGATGTTAAAGTAAAAGAGGAGAGCCATATATCAGAGTGTCAACATCCTTAACATCCACTCACTTAATCCCTAGCAGCCTCTGGTACAAGTTAGATTGCCCTGGAAATATGTGTGCAGTCTCTCTCTCTTTTAGCAGGATGTCCATGTAAGTATGAGCTTTTTGATGTAAAAACAGAAAACAAACTGTATTTTAAAAGCATTAGCACTCATGTTGGAAGGCTTCAGCTCATTTGGTTTACTGAATTTAAAATAGCTGTTGAAATGTTTAACTCTGCCATTCTTAGTGACTCTGCAAAGGATGAGTAAACTACAATGTGGTTTTCAAGTCCTTCAAGGTACAAGGACCTGGCTGTGAAGAGCAGCTAATCACTGACCTGCTCAGGCTGGTATATCAGGTTAGAGGGATTTTGGAATTAGCTTAGTCAATTCAGCAGAGCTGATAGGGATGCAACGGCTGCTAGATGCATGTGCTTAGCAATGCCTCATTTCCATTCTGAAAGGTCTCCTATGCTAACAAATACTATGACAACCACTATAGATGACTTTGGTGGTGATGCAGTTGTAGGTTAACACTGAAATAGTTCTACATTGTGTCTATGGAACTGCAAGAGTAGCTTGTAGTATGGATAAACAAAGAGAGAAGCCAGGCTTTGACAAACTATACCCACTAATAGAAGGTGGATAAATTCCATGTAAAATTCTGAAGATCCATACTGGACTCCTATTCCTTTCCTTGTCTTGCTTCTCCTTGCTTTCATTTCCTTTCTATTCAGAAATGAAGCAATTTAACAAAGGATGGAATCACAAGATCTACAGTAACAAAATCAGAGCAAAAGATGCATCTCTATAGTAGTGGACTAAAGTTTCATTTATTCATGAAACAAGGTGGGCCCAAAATTTCAGAGGAGATGACAAGAGGCTAATCTCCATCTCTTGCCTTTACCAGTATGTTGAAATAAATATAGAAGCATTCCAGGACATATAAACATACAGCTTGGTTCTCCCTAAATAGAGAAAAATCTAACATTGATGAAGTTATCAAGAAATTAAGCAATATGACCTACTATAGCCCATGTGACTACTTTCTCTGACTGAGATGCTTCCAGGATACAGATGATGAGGGAAAAATGTCACCAGTTCTAATAGATCAGTTGATTTATATACACCAGTGACTCATGGTCAGTCAATGGAGACATGGAAGATAATCTGCAAATGAAATCTGGAAATGTATTAAGAATTTTTCTATTACCTTCAAGTAAATTATAAGAGTACAGGGTAGTTTTGATTAATTTGAAGTGTAGTAATGATCAACTGGTCCTAAATGTTTGGGAACCATCTGCTGAAAGGCAGTTTGTCCCAAAGAAATGCTGCTGACAGCATCTAGAAAGTGCCTGATAGTGAAAGAGTTTGTATTGGTTAGGGCTAAAAATCTCACGAATGACCAAGAAATTTAAAGCAGGGAGCATTCTATATCAGAGTCTGTGGGAGTAAAGAGAAATGGAGTTAAAAATATGGTCAAAGAGGACAAAACTCACTGTTTGAGGGACTGGATACTACTAATAATACTATGTCATCTCGGAAAAATTATGTCA